CATATTCGAATAGGTGATAGTATTCATTCGAATTTGTTTCACGTCCCTCTTAGATTTTTTCAGTCTTATTGCGACGCCACCACTTACCAGTGGAGGCTTATGGCCTTTAAGCAGTGAGGGATCTAGTTTTGTACCAGCATCTTCTGTGTTATAGGACCTCGGTTTATACGCTTTCATCGGAAGGGCCAGTTTTCGCGTAATGCTGTCGGATTTAAACGAGAGATGAGGATGAAGATAAACAAACAGTGATCGATCTCAAAAAATTATTTAAACAATAAAATCTGTGAAAAGGGTTTAAAAACGAACCCTTTGAAATTATATCAGGTACCTAGGAGGAGTAAGCATCTACTGTCGAACCCATAGAATTTACGAAAAGCAAAGTTTAAACGAGGTCGTTGAATTTCCCTGTAGCACCAACTTAACTGTCATCGGCTGTCCTCGGTTTAAAAAAGTTCCCCTATTCGGAGCATTCTCGTAAAGTATTCTCACTAGTATCGAATAGAAGTTGTGAAATATGAACACCATTTGCAGGTGTTAGTTGGACATTGCTACATGGATAGGGATACTAGTAGCTGCTGATGGAAAAGTAGAGATCATCTCGTTTGCCATACATTTTAGTTTTTAGCTGCCCTTATTGTGTACATGTATATAGTTAGTGAAACATTCAAATACGAAACAGATCTGGCAGACTCTTTGATATCTTCTTTTATAAGTTCATTGGGATATATCGTATTGACATATGAATGAAATTATCTAATGCTTTATATACATACGACTATATATACATACACGTAATACCTTTAGCAACGTTCTTGATTTACAGGAGGCTAACTTTCCGCGAAAGATGCTAAAAGGAATACACAGCCAAATTTAACAAGTTTACAGTGTCCAATGAAGGCTACTGCAAGCGTTTTTATTTTCTTCTCATATAGAAGTTTTTGAATAGAGAGAATGAAAATGGAGAGCGAAAATATTTTCTGCTGTAATAGGCTATCAGACAAATAAATTAGGCCTACATGTATATACTTTAAACACTTGGAATTAAAATTGGTACACTTCATGCTTCAATACAAATATATACAATCATAAACAAGGCAAATTGAAAAAATTGAAAATGGTGTACTTAAACGAGGTAAGTTATTGACAAACACGTTGATGAAACAAGAATATTAGCAATCTCATTTAAAGTAATAATTTTGTAAGTTCTATGGTCTATACAATTGTAACGTGCAACACGTCCGAGCTTGGTGTTTGGTGATATGGCTTGTATCACCGAGGCGTTACACTCAGGTTCGTTAACCTGTTAAATCAGATTTCTGTTGACCAAATATAATAATACAGTTATATAGATTTAATACAATTATAAACGATTTCTTCTTGATTGGACAACCACTAACTGTTGTCAACGGGTGTCTCCCGCAATGAATTTCTCTAGTCCTGCCACTCTACAAGCACTGCTGCTTCCTGGCACTTCCCCCACTTCTGTGGTATGCCACCTCTATCTTCATTAACCTACTGCCTTATGCAGGTCTTACGTATTAGCTAATAATGTAAACCTTTACTGCCTATCCCCCGCAACTGTGTGCCTTATTCAGGTCTTATCACAATGTGTAAGAGCATAAACAGCCAAAGTTTAACAACTCTGTCACCAAAGATGTATCCTGAGCTTCCTCTTATACACAATGTATAAGCCCAGTGCAGTGGCACAGTCTTCCATCCATTGTGGTTTTCTCCTGTGTCTTACATGGATGTTGTCTCCATTCAGAATGATAATTTGACTCTTGTTCTACATCTGCCTCATTACCTAGAGGTCTACCTCTGGTGCTGTCCTCTCATTATCAGGTATCTCGCCTTGCAAAGTTTGAGGGTGCCGGCCACACATTCTGTCAACATGTATGACTTGTGGTTTTTCCACCACGTCCACAGTCAACTTTGTAGGTGAGATCCGTCATCTTAACAGCGCACCTTGTAAGGACCACAACCTGCCTTCCGAATGGGAAAGAACACATAGACTTGGCAGTCTGGTTCAAATTTCTCCTAGGACGATTTTTGGTCGTGATACATCTTTTGTCTAACCATTGCTGTTTTAATATTCTCCCTGACATGTGTGTGTGCGCTTTTCATAGTTTCTTTCAATTCCCAGGCCCACTTGTCTTTAGGAATGTGCAGCACTGGTCTGGGCATCTCAAACATGATGTCAAGCGGTATTGATATACTTCTCTCCCCAGCCTCAGGTAATTGGGAGTGTAGCCAGTTGTCTCATGAACAGAAGTCCTGTAAGCCATCATTAAAAATGGTAGGTGTTTGGCCCAATCTGAATGATGGTCGTTCATATAAGCGCTTAACATTGTCACTAACGTCTTGTTAAAACGCTCTACCATTCCATCACTTTGTGGATGGTAGGAGCTGGTCCGTGTTTTCTTGATTTGGAGAACCTGGCACATCTCCTCAAAAAGCGCACTCTCATACTGTCGAACTTGGTCCGAGTGAATTACTGATGGCACGCCGAACCAAGCAATTACTTCTTCAACAATGTTTTGCCACTGTCTTGGCTTCCACGTTTGGCATTGGGAATGACTCGGTCCATTTCGTAAAATAGTCCGATACCACCAATATGTAATTATGGCCATCCTCTGTCATTGGTAGTTTTTCCAGGATGTCTGTGGCAATCCTGTCCATGGGTAAACCACTTTCAATCAATTCCATGGGCACTCTTCTCTTCATTTGAGGACCCTTCCTCTTACAACGTTTCTTACTACCTGCTATGTACATTCTGGTGTCTGCTTGCAAACCAGGCCAATAGAACGTTTGCCTTATTCCAGCTAGTGTCTTGCTCACGCAAAGATGTGCAACTGTCCTCACATCATGACAGTACTCGAATATTGTCCGTCGTTGGCTACTTGGTACAATAGCCTACAAGCGTATGGTCTTCCCATCTTCCTCTTCAAACCTTCTGAGTATGTCATTCTCAGTACAAAGATTGTTCCACTGTGACCATAAAGATCGTAGCACGTAGCCTTGGCACGAACCGCACTGTACTCAGGTCTTGTCTTTTCTATGACCCAACGTTTGACAAGGGATAAATCTTTGTCTTCGTCTTGCATATCTTTCATTGACAGAATTGGATCGTCACCATCTTCCTTTGATCCACTGGTTTGGGTTATGACTCTCACTTCGTTCAGCTTGTTTTTTTTCCAAAACTTTTTCCCAGTTTGGATCAAAACCACACTGGCGACATGGCACACGACTCAGTGCATCTGCATTGCGGTGTTGTATCTCAAAAGTGTATGTACTGAGGATTTCCAACCAACGTGCCAACTGTCCTTCTGGATTTTTAAACTTGAAAAGCCACCTTAAGGAGCTATGGTCTGTGCGGACTATGAACTTTTTACCATAGTGTTAATGCTTAAAGTGCTTGACAAAGTGGACAACCGCTAGCAATTTATTTCTTGTAACGCAGTATCTGCGCTCACACTTTGTCAGTGTCCGACTTGCATAAGCAACAACCCTCTCTTGACCATCAATCTTTTGTGAAAAGACTGCGCCTATAGACACATTGCTGGCATCAGTGTCTAAAATGAATGGATGAGAGAAGTCGGGATGCCTAAATATTGGAGTGTTGGTCAGCTTCTGTCTAAGGGTGTCAAATGCCTCTTGACATTCTTTAGACCAAGTAAAGGTGCGACCTTTCTCTGTCAGCGTGTGTAGGCATTTTGCAATGCTTGAGAAATCTTTGATGAATCTCCTGTAATATCTGTATAGTCCAAGAAATGAGCGTACCTCAGTAGCATTTGCAGGCGCTGGCCACTGTTTTACTGCAGCTATCTTGTCTTGGTCTGTCGCTACACCTTCTTCTAACACTACATGTCCAAGGTAAGTACTATAGTAAGTCATCTTCTTGGCAAATCAGCAGCATTTCTTGGTTTTGAGTTTCAGGCCTGCATTTTGCGGTCTGTCAAATACCTTTCTAAGGTTTGCCAACATCTCCTAAAATGTCTTGCCCGTCACTATCACGTCATCCATGTAAACAAGACAGATATCCAAGTGAAGGCCAGCAAAGACGCTTTCCATTAGGCGCTCAAATGTTGCAGGAGCACAACATAAGCCGAATAGCATGACCTTAAACTGAAATAGTCCACAACGTGTGGCAAATGCTGTCTTTTGTTTGTCGTCTGGCTCCATCTCTACCTGCCAATATCCTGAGCAGAGATCTAGAGCAGAGAACCACGAGCTTCCACTCAACTGATCCAGTGACTCGTCTATTCTGGGAAGGGGGTACTAGTATGCGTCCTTGATTGTACAGTTACTGTATTTAACTTGCAGCGAAATGTACCGTCCTTCTTGTTCGCTAGCACAATATGCGATGACCATGAGCTGTTTGATTGCTCGATCACACCTCTTTCAAGCATGTCATTGAGCTTTTGGTCAACCTCCTCTGTAAGATGAGCTGTTACTCTTCTTTGTGATATTTTGATAGGATGGCTGTCTCCAATATCAATCCTATGTTTTACGATCGCCGTGCGCCCTAAATCTTTTTCAGACTTTGCAAAAAGATTGGTTATTCATACACAAATTTATGAGCTTCTCTTTTCTGCTTCCTCGTCAAGTGGCTTGAAGTTTTCTTCAGTATATCAACCAAATCAGGTCTTAATTTCTTAGATTTGCTTGACGTATTCTCCTCTTGTGCCTCAACCACTCTGACTTCACTGAGTTATCCAATAACTGTACCTTGGTAAATGACTTTGGACTCCTCGCCAACATTAAGCAATCGGACTGGTACCATCTCCTGTCGTATGAACAGTGTTCTGGCTGATATGTAGCCTTCCCTTGGCGAACCCGATGCGAAAGGTTTTACCAAACACGTATTCCTTGGAACATGTTTGCAGTCCTTCAAGACTTGTCCCTGTGTGATGATCACACTTCTAGGAGGTGTGGTGACTGTCTTTGTTGCTGTTATTCTGTTGCAGCCTATGTAACCCTCTACAAACATTGGTATTATCTTATCTTTTTAAAATGTGAAGCAACCTTTCGCTCATGTCAACCGTGCATGCATTTGACAGTAGGAAATCAAGTCCCAGTTTTCCATCTGCCTGAATCTCCGCAATGACAGCAGTAGTGTACAGTACCACACCCTCAATATTTAATGTTAAGTCCGTCTTATCCTTGATAGACAGCTCACTTCCATTGGCAGCTAAAATACTCTGGTTAATCTTCTGCAGCTTTGGTCTGGTGTTCTCTGCAATTTTCTCGTACATTGTTGAGAACAACAACGTCAATGTTGCCCCTGTGTCAATCAGGAATTTAGCTTGGACACCCTGCACAGAAATTTCTATGTACATGCCAGCTTCGTCTATAGAAGATCCAACTCCCATTGATCCACTAGGACAGACTTTCTGTTGTGTCTGTTAACTTCGTACTGGCCTGCTCATTCCCCTTTTCTCTTTTGTATCCTTGTGTTCACGTTTACAGGGTCGTCTCTTCAGCTTGGGACAATTGCGTTTTATATGACCTTCCTTGTTACATTCATAACAACGCAACGGTTTACCTCTCGCTTGTTTGTCATTGGTTTTACTGACTGACCGATCCAGCTTCAGCTTTTGGATCTCGTTAGTTAACTATTCATGTTAGCCTTCATGGACTTCATACATGTCTCAAAACTGTTCTGGCTAACCTCAGTAGATGAGTGTTCTGTTGCCGATACTCTTAAATGGCCCTTTGCTTCTAGGTTTCTGCTCTCTGCCCGATTATAAGCCGGCTAACCGGATGGCTTCATTCAGGTTTTGAGGACGAGATTGTTTTATGTGGATTCTCATCACTAAATCTACCAAGGCATAAATGAACGCATCTTTGGCCAAAGTTTCTCGCACATCACCAGGTGCTGGTGCATACTATTAGACCAGATTGGTTAGTCTTCTAATGGCCTGACCTAACTCTGGTATTGACTCAGATTCTCTTTGTCTTCGTTCGTTTAGCTGAACACGATACATATCTGTTTGGTTAAGAGGGGAGAACCTCTCCTCAAGGGATCTGACCAGTGTCTTATAGTGCTGACCAGTATCACTTGGCAAGTCACCTAACACTGACTGTGCTTGGCCACACAGTGATACAGCTAGGTAAAGACCCTTCTTATCCTCTGTCCAGCCATTTACAACAGTGCAAGCCTCAAAATGTGATTTGTAGTCAAGCCAGGAACTGGTTCCGTTATACCTGGCTGGCTTGATTAGATGGTTGTCTTGGCATTGTCTGTCCCAATTGACTGTCTCTGTGGTTTTGGTGTGTCAAATAGATGGCTGGTAACAGTGAACGTCGTTAACCCCAGCACGTGGTGTATAGCTTGTTCTGCCTTCATCTGGAAATCTAACTTTAAAGCTTGCGCCGTACTCGTCAAATGACACATCTCCTGACATACCGGCCGGTTTATTGTCAGTGCTGTGTGTTGCTTATCCAGACTCTTTGCTTGCCGCATTTTTTGACCACCGTCGCTGGTTGGCGTTCTCATCCTTTCTAAGAGCTTCTCCATCCGCTCTATAGTTTCTGACACTTTCTTATATGAATCCATGGTCAACAGAATCCCAACGCTTGCCACCAAATAATGTAACTGGAAATCTAACTTGTGCAACACGGCCGAGCTTGGTGTGTAGTGATATGTCTTGTATCACCGAGGCCTTACATTCAGGTTCGTTAACCTGTTAAATCAGATTTCTGTTGACCAAATATATAATAACACAATTATGAACAGATTTAATACAGTTATAAACAGTTTCTCCTTGGTTGGACAACCACTTACTGTGGTCAACGGGTGTCTCCCGCAATGAATTTCTCTAGTCCTGCCACTCTACAAGTACTGCTGCTTCCTGGCACTTCCCCACTTCTGTGGTGTGCCACCTCTCTCTTCATTAACCTACTGCCTTATGCAGGTCTTACGTATTAGCTAATAATGTAAACCTTTACTGCCTATCCCCCGCAACTGTGTGCCTTATTCAGGTCTTATCACAATGTGTAAGAGCATAAACAGCCAAAGTTTAACAACTTTGTCACCAGAGAGGTATCCTGAGTTTCCTCTAACACACCATGTATTAGCCTAGTGCAATCTCCGCATTGAATTGTTGACGGATTCTCCGTTATTTCCAGATGACAAGGAGCACACGGCGGGTGTGACCGGTCGGCAGGGGGTGCTTACTCCTCCATGGCACCTGATCCCAAATCTGATGTTTCAGATGTCCGCGTTTGCTCTGCTCCTAATTTGTGATATTTGATGGACTTCTGAGTTTGAATACTGTTTGTTACCTCCATACAGTTCATCCAATACTATTAACAAAAAGTTTTGTTTTGAGAAATAAACTCTAAAAAGTCTACTAGTGTCTGTGAAGTTCTGGGGCGAAACACCTCTATGTATCTTTTCATACATTTCTTGCTTTAGGTGTGCCTTGAATTTAGTACCCAAAATGCAATCGCATGGATCATCAACGATCGAAGCTTGGTTATGGTCCTATATGTGCATTGCATACTAGTACTTGACGTATATTAGAAGTTGTAACAACAGAACTCCCATCATATTCTTATCAAGAGCTTACAGTGAAGTACATCAAACAATCATTGGATCGGCATAATCAGAGTATATGACAAACAAAACTTCAAATGTTTGACATTTAGAAATGATATTTATTTTGAAAATTTGTTGTTGCCCAGGGATCTCTTGTTTACACGGTACCCTGAACAGCGGAAATGTAGTGAACTGAATCTTCATGATATCGTTTGAAGTGGATCTTACACTCAATAAGCAAAGAAGGAAAAACATGAAAATCGAATAATTATATCCATAAGTTTTGAGTGAGCCCCAAAAAATTGTCATGTATGTTAGTATTTTACAAAAATCTAGGAAGATATCAGTTTTTTATTAACATCCCATGCTGTCGATAACTTTTTAGCATTGTGGTCGTTTCTTTTAACAATAAATAATTATTGATAGGGCTCAAATGGTTATTTGTTTAAATTTGCTAGCGGAAATGCCTATTCTGTCTGTCTATTTTAGCCAATATTTTATATACAGTATTTTAAAAGCGTGAATAATTAATCATAAACAATAAAATGTCTTTCTTTTTGTTTTCAGCATATGGTAGCTGCAATCGTTTGAGGAAAAAATATGAAATACATGTATTGTAAGGGTTACCTCCCGTATACAAAATGTTCAAACCTTTTTTTCATTAGTGTCGTCTTCAACTGGTGGGACATTAATTCTAAAAGTGGCTATGAAAGACCAACGGCTCAATAAAATTCGTTTCAACGAATGTCTACTTAATCCCCATCCTAATTCACAGTTTTGATAGTGTTTTATCTGCTACCATAAATGTTTTTGCATGACATTTAGATCTTCCTTTTGATACCAACAATTTTGATCTTGACTTTGGAGCTAAACTTGCATTTGAAAAACTTCAACCCTGCCATAATCTGTCATAGGGGGCATCAGTGGTTCACAAACACATCTTGTTGTTGGTTGATATTGCTTTTATATTTGGAATACTTATTTATTACAAACATAACCTTTTAAGACTAGCAGATACTTTTCCCTTGCAGTGTTCAATGTACATGTATAGTTAATAATGGAGGTCTGGAGAAGTTTTTTTTGTTTAATTATCAATTCTTTGCAAGTAGACAACATTGGTTTATTGTATCACTGGTTTATCTTTATCTCTGATCAGAATTTTATCCCATTCTCTTAAATTCAACTTCATGGCATCACGATTTGGGAAAGGATCGGAAACTGTGATTGGGTACTGGTTCCCTGCCCTCCAAACAGCAACTGGTTTGAAAACTTTGTCCAAAACTCGAACCTAAAAAGAATATATTGATTAATTTTATTGTTGCTCCTTCATAGTAAGGGATATAAATGTATGTAGATTTAGTTTTTCTTCTCTTTTTTTTTTTTTTTGGGGGGGGGGGGGACTAAATACATTGTATACCTGTGATTGACAATCCTCTAGCGAAACTGGACCCTCATCTAATTTCAGAACAGTGATATCCGCCTCTTTTCCAGGTGTCAAACTACCTATTCTATCCCCCCATCCTATTGCCTTTGCTGAAGTTGAGGTTACAGCATGGATAACCTCAACCAGAGGCATGCCAAGGTGCAGAAATTTAGACATTACTGTGGGAAGATCATATGCAGGTCCCCTGTGATTTCCAGTGTGTAGGTCAGTACTAATGATGTCTGGATAAAAGCCCGAGGTTGAGGAGATTTCTGCCACGGTCCAGCCAAATGAGCCTTGTCCATGTCCAACATCGTATAGCACGCCCTTCTGTCTGGCTTTTAAGACATCTGGATAGATAGTTTGGGTAGTTGGGTCCACGATGGAGGATCTGTAAGGATGATAGGTGTGGGTGTATAAATCTCCAGCTTTCAGATCACGTGGACATCCTAGTGATGAGGACTTGTCTAATTTAAACAAAGGAACATGTTGTAATCATGGCATATTTTGTATAGGAATTTCAATTTATTATACAATATAGACCCTATAATATCAACTCAATATACAATACGCTTTGTTAAAAAAATTAGTAATTAATTGTCCCATAAAAGAAAAAAACCCAGATTTAAATAATTACGCATTTTTTTTCCATATTTGTAATACGTTGTATATAAATCTTACATATTATAGATTTCATGTTTCACATTTTACTTTTTAAGTATGCATGGCTTAATTTACCTTGATGAAAAAGCTGATCAAGGGGCAACATTGAATTAGAAAATTAAATTGTATATTGTTAGGTAACCTTGAAAGTGTCAGTTCCTTAATGGGCCAATAAGAAGTCGATGTTGTTAATTCATATACAGCAAAACAAACTGCATGTTAGAAAAATTCAAGGGACAGTCAAACCAGCGACACAGAAAAAATTTAAAGATGTAAAATATATATTTCTTGAATTATAATTGTTGGGACTTCCAAATTACTTTAAACAACACAACCAAAATACTGTAAACAAACTTTTATTGGTGAGCGAGAAATACCCGAAAATTTCGCAACTTACTTTAACTCGTGAATATGAATCTCCATGCTTCATTTATTTAGCATTATCTCCAGAGAGAATGTTTCCTCGGTCATGAAAATTAATCTTCGCAGATTGATTTCAAACTGATGAATTGCGAAAAAAAATGACGGGAATAATAGTTGGTTTACAGTATTTGAGATAACAACGTTGGAGATGTTCAACTGATTTTGAACTTTATATAAATGGAAATTGCCACTGAAAAGAAATTTGGAAATATTCTCAGTCTCAGAATAAGAGCCGAATTCTTTTCTTTCTAAAAAAGAAAAATGGATAGGCAATATGAAATACATTGTATTCCCTATATAAAAATACAACTTTTTGCAATGTTCAAGCAGTGAAATAAAATGAAGCCAGTATGGAGGAAAAATAAAGTCAATTTAAATTGATTTGCTAGTTTGGGAATCAAACATTGAATGAAGGTGAGAAAAATGCATTAGGAGCTGAAGTAAGCTATTTTGTATGAATTCACGCTTTAAAAGTTGTGCGGAATTGACGTGTTAAAACATTACATCGTTTTTATATTACTTTACCATAAATGCAGCCCTAAATCAAATGAACATTTTGTCAAAACCTTTATTGTGTGTCAGGGTACATTCCAACTGAGAGAGAAATAAGGAATTGACAAAGTGCTGGTATAGAATGAAACAAGAAGCCATGGGCAAAATTGCTCATCTGAATAACTTTGGCCCTGCTGTTCTTAACCAGATTTTACCCTTGCTAATACCTATTGTAGCCCCACCATACTCCCAGGGGTCATGGTTTAAGCAAATTAGAATCTACAGTTTTCTAGGATGCTTCTCTGTAAGTTTCAGATTTTCTGGCAACGTGGTTCTTGAACAAGGAAGGGGGACGGTATATGGTTGGAGACCAAGGGCGGAAAGCGGAGAAGCTCTCAGGCTTTATAGTTTTATAGAAAAAAGTTTTCAACTTAATTCAGAAGATATTTAAAGTTTTTTTTTAAAAAAAAACCAATTCAAAATAAAAAGAAAAAAATGATCTGTATATGTCAATGTAAAACTTGGACTCCCTATTGTGGCCCTGTCCTACCCCCCTCTCTGCCATTTTAGTGCTTGCGGATCGCGGAAAATACGTTATGCTCATATGATTTAAACAATTTCAGTTAATAAAAACTAAGATTGTCTACACTTTCCCAGGATGCTTCCACATAAGTTTCAGCTTTTTCTGGATCAGTGGTTCTTGAGAAGATTATAAAAATTTTTACTTGAACCTTTAGCTCAGGTGAGCTAAAAATTGTCATTTCATATGTATGTACAATTTGAAGATAAATGTTAATAAATATCATTGTAAGCTCACTGAAGTTTTTCTAGGAAATGAAAATGTACAAACCATCATTAACTTGTGTTGGTACAGTTGACATTGTGTGATGAACCATCAAAGGAACTCCTGCTCTTTCTGAGGCCTGCAGTGCTCGCCTGAAAATGAAGAAACATCAAATTGTATGCCTAAATTATAAAGTTAAGCATGATGAATGTCATTCATAAATGAAGCAGAGTCTGAAAAGCAGATGAATGATTAATAATTTCATTCTGAAACAGCCTTACTTCTACACATGATGTAAATCTTTTTTAACATTGGGAATATTTGGTAATGCTTACATAATGTTTCATTAAAACTTCATCACTTTTGCTGATTTTGTCTATTGATGATGTTTATTGTGGAACCAGGAATGAACTACATTGTACATTACTAGTATATCAATATAACACAATCAAATCACAATTATTCTGAAAATATTTTATATGTAATGTACTTTTGTTAGTTTGTTAATGATTGTAGATGTTCCTAGGACATACTAGTATATAAATTCTCATAACTGCTAAAAACTATGAAAAATCAATTCTTTAATGTTCATACATATTGTATGTAAAATTCAATTAATGTGCTCAAAATCTAATGCAACTTAAAAGTCCATTAAGACATTATCAGCCAAATCATTAACTTATGCTACTAATGTATTATTCATCCCATATACATAACTGACATCAGATACTGTATGAAGGTCCAAGTCTGAAAAGTATTGAAGGTTTGGTCCTTGATTGTTCTTGCTTTTCACTACCGTAAATCACTTTTTTCTTTGTGAGCTAGTCTATGAACTTCTACGTTACTGTGTATATGACTGTCTGCTTTGCAAAATTAAATTTTATTTTGGTGAATGTTTTTATTAGTATATTGATTGATTGATTGACTGATTGATTGATTGTCGTTTAACGTCCCTCTCGAGTATTTTTCGCTCATATGGAGACGTCACCACTTGCCGGTGGACAGCTACAAATTTCGTCCTATAGGCAATCAGGGCCATTGAGCAGCGAGGGATCTTTTTCGTGACAGCACCTACTGCGACATGGGACCTCGGTTTATACAGGCTAACCCGAAGGACCCGTCTCAACGTCCCACAGTGGGATTTGATCCCGCCACGTAAGGATCAACTCCTTACTTCGCGACACTAGAGCAGACGCTAGATAACCACTGCGCCACGCGGACGCTTTTTATTAGTATAAGTTATATTTTTGCAAATAACCAATTTCGGTTAAAAATGTTGCCTTCGTTTTAAATACCAAATGCCTATCTCGCAAAAATTAAGATTTAATGATCTACAGCATATGTATATTCATATCCAGATTGTTCTCAGGCCATACATACGAATTCTATGGTAACTATACAGATGTGAAAAACCCAATATTGAAAAATGATTTTATCCTCCAAATCCCAAATTTGCAGTGATTATAAACCAAAAGTACTCGCAAATAAATTACATAGTGGATTAAAACCAATCACTTGCCTGTAAGCTTCCATTTCATTTTTACCCTCATCTGCAATGGAGTCCGATAGACGAAGTTTGATTCCCACAACAATATCGCGATTTTCAGTCACACATTTCACACATTCATCAACTGATACGACATTCAGTGAATCCAATTCTCCACCCGGTGCTTAAAGTTAAAAGAATTTAGACTATTTGTACGATTTGATCTTCTCTATATACATGTATATATTTGTAAAACATTCAGAATCTAACCCATGGCTAAGTACTGTTTTTCAAAAAGAAAGGTTCCTCCCTGCAAAGATTAATTTCCAGTGGAAGATTTATAATTGTCATAGTCAGCAAAAATCCTCAAATATACTGTTTAACAAATCCACCCCACCCCACCCCACCCAAATAAGCTCTTAAATTCTTTTAATTAAAGTTGGGGGAGGGGATGGATCCACCCCAGGCCATGTAAATCAGATGCAGCATCCGAAGCAAATCTGGTAGTTTCCATCCCTAGATGCATCATCCAATCAAGTTTGGTCCAGGTAGGGCTCATAGTAACTTGGGAATGGACCTGCAAGTTTGGTCCAGGTAGGGCTCATAGTAACTTGGGAATGGACCTGCAAGTTTGGTCCAGGTAGGGCTCATAGTAACTTGGGAATGGATCTGCCCCTAAAACGTTAACCGGGACGCCTACGCCAATGCCAGGGGTATATTGCATAAACTCATCTTGACTTCTTTGAGGTGAGCTAATAAAAACAATAACAATAGCAGAACTAGGAATTTTTCGCGATATATCGCAAAACTTTGGCATTATAACGTAAAACTTTTGCGAATAAAAGTTACTTATACGTTATAACGCGTAACTTTCGCGAATAAACGCGAAATTGTTACAATAAACGCGTAATTTTCGCGAACAAACGTGTAACTTTTGTAAGTTAATGGGAAATTTCGCAAATTTACTCGAAACTTTCGCAAATAAACGCGTAACTTTCACGTTATTTTCATGTAATAACGCGAACCAAGACATTTGTATAAATCTCAACTTCCTTTTGAATTAAAATCTAGTTTATTCATTACGATGAAAAGCAAAAAGTTATTTTGAACTCGACCATCACAACTACAATTTTAAGTTTTCTCTTTTTAATTTTTTTACCGTCACATTTTGTCTTTCTCAACGTTGTTCAAACAATTCAAAGTCTATGCGAGTTTTCCCAAAGAGAAATTTTAAGAATTTCTGGAAAAAGATCACCCCTTTTTCGGCGTCATTTTTAACAGTCTTTAGACAATTTGAAATAGAGTATGACCAAAATATCAGTAAACTTACAAAGTGGGCTAAATTTATTTGTCATTGTGTCCCACCACATTGGTGAAAATTGGATGTCAAATATTCATTTGCCTTCGTTAGAATCACTGTAAAAATTTGGAGGTTACACCACGCGGTCATACTGTTGCTTACGAAAACATATTCAAAGTGTACTTTAATAGTTTTGAACTTTTAATTTATGGCCATGAACTTTACAATAATAACGCGAAAGTTTTGCGTTAAACGTGAGTTTCGCGTTTATTCACGAAAGTTACGGGTTAATTCGCGAAAATTTTGCGTTATTACGCGAAGGGTTCGCGTTTATTCCCGAAAATTAACGCTTCATAACGCTAAGGATTGCCTAAGAAAATGAGTCCAATTGGCTTTCTTACAGAACTTCCCCTATGCTGGAGAATTTGTAATTTATGCAGAGATTTTTCTTCTATGAGGGAAATGTACATGATGTTCTACAGACACCGGTAAGAAAAGTTTGGTCATTGTCTGACCGGTGTTTACTGCTCCATGAAAGAATTTTAGTATTTATCATTTGAAGATTGAAGATTCAATATTTATCAAGTCCGTTATTCTCTAATCAAGTCCGTTATTCTCTAACATTCATATAACTCAGGGACCTTAACCCCCCCCCCCCCCAAAAAAAAAAAAACTTGCTCCCTGACTTAAAATCGATAAATATATTGGCTTCAAACCTCCGGAGGCACATCCTGCTGCTGCCAAACCGTGCTGTGCTATGTGCACAAATGACAGCATTCGTGCTTTACATTTCTCTGCTACGTATCTCCGCAACCCTTCAAAGGTTGAAGCACCTGAGAAAAAAATAGAGGAAAAATTTTATGACCTATTTTTTAAAATGGGTGATTGAAAATATTTTAATATGAATTTAAAGCAAAGAGATAAGATTGTTACTGTTGCTTAAAAAGTAAGAGCTAACTTATTTGTAGTATATCAAGAAAGGTAAATCTTGCAAATTAATTTTTCTTGATTTACAACAAATGTACGTATTTCTTAAAGAATGAGGGCGCTTTTAATTGGCATTCGGCAGGAATCTGGGCGTACTTGAAAAGTGAAAAATTTTATTGACATGTCAAATGACATTTTAACATGTTTTATTCATTGGGTTCCTGTGCAATGGGAAAAGAAAATATTTTTCCGAAAGATAATTTTAATTTGCTAAAAAAAATAACCTGAAAATTGGCTAGATCAGAAATTTGGTACAAAATGGTACATTTTTAAACAAGTATTTCTAATTTTTTTCTATCTCTGGGTCTTCTCTCCATGATTTTGAAACGTAATTTGTGTGCATTTTAATTCAAAGAAACGGAGGGGGGGGGGGGGTAGAGGCATTTTTTCAATGCCATCCATCTTTCACTTCCAATTTTTTTGCATACAATACATGTACTACATTTCCGTGATGTCAATTTATTGTGGTAAGAAGTTGGGGGGGAACCAACCTTTCAATGAACATTTTCAATAGTAAAGGTAATTTTGGGAGAAAAAAAATGGGGGAGGGGTCAGGCCTACCCCCCCCCCCCCCTGTTGCTACGTACCTGGGTATAGAAACATATTCAAAGGTGTCTTATGAATATTGTAAGTAATTGTATGGAATTAAAATTTGTTAACCAGGTATGCTGACTTATTTTGATCTCCTCTCAACGGAAACTTCAGAGGTATTATAATCCCTTTGTGTGTTGTGTATGTTAGTTTGTCCTTGTGCGAAATGAGAATGGTGAGATTTGCTTCAAAATCATCCTACGTCAAATGCTACATCCAATTTATGGATATGCTCGATTTTGCAAGGGAACGCTTTATACTGAGTCTTTTTAAAGAAAAACATAAACTCATTTATCACTAGTTTTTATTTATCCCTCTTATAAAAAGGAAAAGGATCCTTAAAAAATTATATATATGTACTTTTTTTTATTGTTTTGCCAAATTTGGTTGAAAATGGTCTGGTGAATTTGAAGAAGAAAAAAGAATTGATAGAGATTAACAGACATACAAACACACAAACAACTTAAATTTATTCCTCATCTTCATTTTACAACTTTGTTTTGTTAAAATAAACTTTAGATTAATGATCAATCAGAGTTACCGGGTTTTGTCTGAGCCAGACTTTAGATGAGGCCAAGTCACGTGGGTCTATTCGAAAAAAAAAAGGCCAGACCACGTTCTGCGGTACGCCAGAAAACTAGCGTCCATCTTGCATTTCACGCACGCAAAGTGTGTGCAGGCGAATTGAATTTTGGAAATACATAGAAAACGATAACCAGCGACCTTTTTGACCAAAAACATATCAGTCCTATTTTGTTGTGTACTTTATCCTGGCTGTGTTTTATTTTTAAAAAGTACAGATTTGAGAAACTCCAGTAAACTTGAATGTAGGGCAAATCCAAGGTCGTATGATGAGAACAAAAGAAATGGATGTATACATCAGCTTCTGTAATTTTGAACTTTTTGTCTACGGGATTACACGTAATTTATAAGTGATATAATTTTTACATTGGAGTCATTACTTGATCAAATTTTTAATGAACCGGAGTTATTACAAAGTGTGATATATCCTGGAATATTGATCATGTTGATCATACACCAATAATCAAAACGAGGCTTCATTGTTGTGGAAGTATTTAATAAAAAGTTTCCCAATATTCCACCAAGTGTTAACGACAAGTTAACACCTATGTCTCTGCTAAACTTAAAAAAAAAACAACTAAATTAACACAAATAAAATCCTATAGGATCTTTTAGCTTTGTAAATTACAAACACATTTTTATGCAACACACGTTCACCATTCACGTCCATTGTTCATTTCGTACATGTCCTAGATTTCTAGTGGAGAGGAAATGGCGAGATTTTCATTAAATAAAAGGGGGTAGAAAAAGGCGGTTTAGTCGAACGATGTTTCTGTGGTTATTGAATTAATTTCTTTTGGGTTATTAAGTAGGCATTTCTGACAGCAAGTAATTTTAATCAGCCAGTATAAGGATTTCTGTAATATTCCTAATGTGCACGTCAAACATGGACTACACACTATAAATTTTATGCTTGAATGCGTAGATAGACTTGAACAGCGAACAATGGATGAAATATTCACAATCGCAAATTCAGAAACGAGAAGTATTTTGAAATCAAGTTTTTTTTAAAAATGATTTTGTATCTGATATATTTCTGTATATACCATGTATACTGAACAGCTATTATAATAAATCGATTGTCAGAAATAGACCGCCATGACAACGAAACGCACCAAAATCGATAGCATTAACAAGGAAATATCTATGTACCATGGCAACCAAAATATTTGTTATTGATTGTCTGCCTGCGTTTTTCTATTCTCTATATCGATACATAAAGTTGAGGAAGGGCTGGTTGTGTTAAATTCCAAGACTGGAATTCATGTATCATTACCACCAATAGGCTAAGTCAAACATGTATAAACTTAAATTTTCGTGCGGGCCCAACACTCTACGGCTATTCAAAGGATTAATTGTTGTAATCTCCTACTTCGTCGATCAATCTTTGTACATATAATAAAAATCTTGTCGACGTGGTGTGCTTAACATACATCGATGACTCACACTCTACACATAAGTTGGGGCCTGTAAAGGGGTGTCGAATGTCTGAAATGCCTAAATTGCGATTTATTTAGTCTGTGCATATATTATTCATTTTGATGCGTATACTGAAGTCATCATGTGTGCAAATAAAAATAGTTTTAGTATGTCCTTACTGAAGAGCCAGTGGGAAATGTCTGTAACAGGCATAGTTCTGTAAAATATTTATTTCTGTGTATCTGTCTGCTTTTGATATATCAATACCTACCTGCACTCCCTGCGTCAACGACAGTAGTAACACCACGGGAAAGACAATGTTCATCTGGGTTAATCCCCAGTGGTGTAGCATACTGGTAACAGTGAACATGGCAATCAATCAGACCAGGCGTTACTAAGCAACCGCCAGCATCGAACGTTTTTTTAGCCTGAAACTGTGCATTATTGCCAATCGACAGAATTGTTCCATTATTGACAGCTATATCAGCCACCATGTCCACTCGATTCACAGGATCGATTATTCTCCCGTTTTTGAGCACCAAGTCTACATACGACATGGTGTGTATATACATGTTATCTATATAGGTCTCCTTTTGGTAGAATACCGTAGAATTATCTGAACATTTTGTTTCTGAAAATCCAGGTCATTGAATGAAAAGGTATAAATTCCTGGGAGAATTAAGTAGAGAAAGGGGTTTTTGCCCAATTACTCTTTTTTTGACAAAATTTGATTTACATCTGGAGAAGTCGCACATGGTTGGTCTGGTGTGACACAGACTAAAAATCTATCGACTTGCTGGAACATTAAAACAATATTTTGGTTAAAAGCAGTACATCATAATACGTTACATCTTGTCCAATAGATTAAAGTGAAAATTAACTAATTAACACAAAATGTGGATATTTTAATATTAAAATTAATACTTTGAGATAGTCCCTGATCAATAATATATGGGATACCATGTGACTGCATGGGGGTCGAAGGTCACGTGTGCACAGTGACGTCAGGGTAGGCCATGAATTTTTACTACATTGTGTAGAGGATATAGCAACTGTATTTGCTATGACTGGAATTGTGTTGTATTTTGTGTATTAATGCATAAAATCAAACGTTATGTAGCATAGCAAGAAATGGTACGAGAAACAAGGTACCTTCTTGTTGGGAATTTACCCGAGAAAACCACAGAAGATGCAGTAGCAGAGCATTTTAAGCGGTGAGTATGGGCACAACACTTTGACCAGAAATTCAGGTCAGCCATTTTCGCAGCGAGGATTACATTGGATTTCAGAGTCTATTCATTGTTCTCGTTCGTGGGTTAGAGGTAGAGAAAGTTTTAGAACGTTTTGAGTCAGGACAGCGGTTCATAATATATAATTACAAGGAAATATGTTCATTGGCAACTGATAAAGAAAATGAAGGCGGAAAAGCTGGTATCTTAAGGGAGCGTATACAAATTCAAACCACGGCCACGGGGAACGAAATTTGCGCTTGGTTTATACGTGTCACATTCAACAACGATTTCTCCATTGTTATACCGTAAAGTTTAAAGTATATTGTAATATGATGGATTTTCTTCAGTAAAATATATGAATCTTGACTTTAATATCATACACCACCATAAATTATGTATCCATCATTCCATGTACAATATATAAATAATCCATCATTGTGTGTCTGGGGAAATTAATGGTCGATTTGAAACTAATACTGATGGGGAAACTATACTGAAGTAGGCCTACTCTGCATATTAAAAGAAAATGACAAAGCTTTTATTTCTTGAATGGTTAAACACTGACTCTACATGTCTACTTGATTCCTTTCCTTCAGAGCATTTGCACTTCAGACTTTGGGAGGTCATTAAATTTAAGTTTGAATGATCTTGAAAGGCAATAAAATCAATTTCCTTGTATTTCTTTCTGAAAATATAAATAATTTTAGATTAAATGCTGTGATAAGCAAGTTTGCATATAAATCAAAGGTGTTGAATTTGGACATTCCTGTGGAAATTAACCTGTTAAACAACAAAATATCTTCCATTTTTTGCTTGATAAGAATGAATGCATTGGTCTTTCCTGTAAAATTACTATAAAAAAAACTAGTTTTATTTTTAAAGACCATGTGCCTTTATCATTTTTCAGATCATCTTTTTCATTTTTGACCACATACAGTCTTATGCATTGATCAAATACATGTTTGATTGTAAATGTTAATAAAATGCATACAGTCCCTACAAACAGCTTTGTCAAAATTGTCTGTTACTGAAAACAAAAATCACATTCTTGTATATTTGTAAAATTTAGAGAATCGGAATACCCCCCCTTTTCGAAAAAGGAAAATGATAAAATCAAGAACTATATTTTTTGGAGATATCTTGTTCACATAATGATAGTGATGGGGTGCATTGAATCGGTAATAATCGGCTGGGCATAATCGATTAATAATCGATTATTGAAATTTTGAACTTTCACAAATTAATATAGAAAAGTGGAAACTTATCCAGATTTCTGTCAGACTTTTACAAAAAAAACATTTACTTACATAAAATATTCAAAAATGTTAATTGAAATTTCTATAAAAAGTGGAAAATAATATTTTGTTTACTTTAAACAATATAGGACTGTATAAGACTATTGAAACAGAATGGGAATTTATTTTATTTTTTTTTTATAAAATCCATGCAATGGGTATTTTTACTGATATTAGTCCCACCTTTCATTTAATACATGTATATTTTTCTTAAAATTAGTTTTAATTAGTTAAAATAATAAAATTGCAAGTCTTAAAAGTTATTATCCAGAAGTTAGACTTGTATTTATGATAATAATTACGTTTAAAGATTGACTAAACTAATTATGTTTTCCTTTGTATAGTAAAACCTTGCAATATTAGCATTTCCTGGTATTAGTCTAACCCCATATTTAATCATGGTGGTAAAAGATGTGAATCCTTACATGTTTTCAGTTCATCACTGCTTTTATGCTCTTTGCTCTTGGATTTGGTAATAAAATTAAAGTATGACAATTTTATTTTTTGTTAGCGATGTCGGCAATTTTCATTTTATAATCGATTAGTAGCATCGGAGAGCTTCTAACGACCGACAATCGATTGTCGGCGACAATCGTTCCATCACTACATAATGATGAGGTGAGGTGCATTGAAAATTGGGGAGAATGACACTCTAAGACTCTTGCTGTTTTTCACACACATATGAAAAGTTTGATATCCATGTAGGAAATGGCCAACCAGTTCCAGTGAAAATTTTGTGTAAATGAAACTTCTAAATAAAGCAATGCTAAGTTATTGATAAACATAAAAACAACGTAAAAATCCTTCTTCAATTCTTCAACTGTACATTAAAAAAAAAGAGATACATAGTATTACATACAATAAAATTACAATTCCAACATCTTCAATTATTGCCAACTTTGAAAGCTTAAAATGTATCTAAAGTTTTCTAAAAACGATAATGAAATGAAAGTGGGATGTGACTACTGCAGTACTGCTAGGCCTTGATGAATATGATGGAAAGACTAGTGTAGAGGTATTTCTTTTACTCGCTATGGCTTGTAAATGCTTTGTGAGAATGCATCAGTGGTTTGCCAATTTCAAATTTTCAAAGAAACAAAGCCAAAAAAAAAATGTGACCATTGAATTGATAAAATACCCCCCCCCCCCCCCCAAAAAAAAAAAAAAAGAGAGAGAGAGAGAGAAAATGCATCCATGTATTTTCCACTAGTGATGTTTTTTTGAGCTAAAATTACTAGAGAAAGACACCAAATCAGTTTATTGAAAGTTTGATATAATATCAATAAGTATTGGCATAAGATTGTATGATATGACTCTAAGGGACATTGTAAATTAATGACCTTTTGCTCTAGAGGGTAAGTCATTATTATTTGATCAGCAACTGACATTAAATTAATTGCTATTGATGGTATCCTTCAAAATGTTCAATTTCTTATGAAATAAACTAATGGTAGACAAGTATAGTTGTATCGAAACTTACAATCGCTCTGTCATTACATCTTTCCAGCCAAATTTTTGTCCCAAAGTTGGTAGAACCATTTTTTTTAATGTGGAAAAAAAATTACATTTGGGATTTTTTTTTTTTGGTTAAATCAGCCTAAATGTACATAAAATGCATCAATTTAGCCAAGCACTCTTCTAAAACAATTTTTGAGACTGACCAACAAGAAGTTTTGCATATTCTGCCTTGAGCAGTATAGTGATACAGAACAGCAAAGTAAATCTTTTTTACTTTTTTGTTTTGATTTTTGCACTTTAAATTTGTATCCCATTTTGAATATTAATTATATCCCAAACAAATTCACATAACCCAGTTGGGCAACTGATCTCAACCTATGTACTTCTCATTTCTCAATCCCATCTATTTCATCACTGAACCTAAAAAATGATTCATTAAATTCTACCTTGTTCTCCACTTTCTTGCATTATTAGGAGTTCATCTTTTTTCAATACCAATTTTTTCCCACCCTTCTTTCTTCCCTAAATGCCACTCCATTACACTGACTCCCTTCCATTTTCCAATTATATATTTTTCAGTGGGTAGTTTCAGATTTTGATGATTCAATGATTCAAGTTCTCTATTAGGCATTACTCAAATACCTGCATATATAGTTGATGTCTCTTGCTCCAGACTCCTAAATCTTGTTGCAAAAATGGGGGGGATAAACAAAAAGAAAAAAATTCTATGTGTAAAAATGGCCAGCTCAAAAGTTTGCTCCCCCCCCCAAAAAAAAAAAAAACGCATGTGGTGTGTGAGGGTGTGTATTTTGTTTTCTTTTGTAAGTATAAACATTTTCAAAAATAAAGCATTAAAAAAAAAAAAAAAACAAAAAAAAAAACAAATGGGGAAGAAAGCATTGAAAGTAACTGAACATCACAGGAAGAAATATATTTATCAAGACAAACAATCAACATTCATCAAAGCATGAACTGAGAAGAAAAATTTATTTTCAGTTCTCGTAATCTTTTATTCCTCAGTTGTAAAGTAACCATCATTTAGAATCGGCCAAAACACCATCTTGGAAATGTTGCAAAACATGCTTATTCAGAATATTGATACCAATCTCCACAATTGAATTAAGTTAACCACACAAAAACAGGTCTGCTTATATACATATGAAACTAGACATATAACAAAGAGCTGGAATTAAGGATTTAGATGAAGTTGTTGATCTTAGCTAAAGATTCCATTCTTATCATTAATGCACATTTTGGACATGAGGTTTTAATGAAAAAGTTGAAGATAATGAAAAGTGATTGATCTCAGAAAAACTTGCAGGTAATTCAAATCTTTGAACACTAAAGAGGGCTTAAAATACTGACCCCTGGAAATTTCAGAGATGGGATCAGATGCATAGGAGAACAACCAAAAGCTTGACATTTGTTACTAAAAAAGGTTGAAATCCCTTCAACATCAGCTTATCTGTCAGTAGCCTGTCTCAGCTTAAAAAATTACTGTGTTCAAAGTATTTTCTTGAAATCGAAATAGGATGAGAGTCATAAAAACCATATGCAGGTGAAGGGTCTTATCTGGAAAAAAAAAAAAACCTTTTCATTTCCTGCTTTCTAATGCTGAGCAGTTTGTGAAGGAAGTTGGGAGCAACTAGCTAGAAAATGTTTTGGGAAATGTTGCTGGAATCCAATGTGTTTACTGAGAGACTTGTACAGTTGTGTTTGTACCAGAGACCAGTGTTTTCAATAAGATTTTGAATAGAAGGAAAAATAGATGGAATAGCAGGAAACCAGTCCCAGTCCCGGGTCCAGGGCAGAGCCCTGGTAGGGGGCCCAGGGGGGGGGGGGGCGAAGCCCCCCGGCCGAAAACGAAAATCAGCATTTTTGACTCATTTTTCTTACCTCTCAGGCCATTACAAAAGTAATATTTTTTCACATTCTTGTCACAATCAATTATCAAATTTTACCCCAAAAAGCCACTTAGAATTTTTTGTTTTTGTTTTACCTTTTTACAGATTTGTTTGACAAGATTAAATTTGACAGACTGGGTTTTTTTCTTCTGAAAACTTTCAGTGTCTATAAAAACATATATATAGACAACTTAAGTGTGAAATTCTAGTACAGACAATTGTCTGTGGTAGAATATTATGTTTAAAATTCTACATCTTTAGTCCCTTTCACATAAATTGGTCAGGACTTTTATTCAAAACTCAAAATATGATTTGGTTGAAAATTTTATATTTTTTAAACACTTGGTGATTTACAGTACCCACCAAAAATTGAAATATTCTGCAATCTGAGACTTTTCATAAATTAATCTTTAAATTGATTTACGTTTTTGACATTTTGTGCAGATAGTCATGACAAAATAATTAAGAAAATGGAATACAAAATACTAGTACATTAAAACTTTCCCAAATGTGAAAATGATACACTGTTCCTGTATTTCAAGAGATCTTGATCTTAGACGAATAAGAGAATTTTTTTTTCATTTTCGGTTTGAGGAAATGCTGTAAGAATTTCTATGTCTGAGTCACGATTAAAATATTAAGACTTTTATTCGTAATTATTATGTCAGCGTAACATTTGAGATTTTCAGTTTGCGGAAATTCTGTAAGAATGAGAATGGATACATGATCAATTTTCAATCGAAAATTATAAAACACAAACAAATCTTTTCGGAAGGGACCATTCTTTATGCCTCTTAATGTATGTTATCTCAAACGCATGTGTTACAGCAGCAGCACATTTCTCCACGACTTCGCTGAGTCAATATTCGTTGTCCGCGACGCCATTACCTGACACTATCGATCTAATCAAATTTCCTTGAAAAAAGAGCGCACTCAAGGGAAGCTACTCTAGATCATGGAAGTAGTTGCGATAAAATCTATGGATATCGCGTATTAGCACACCGGCAAAATTCTTATGACGGAAAATTCATAGCCGGCAAAATTACTCGTACAGGCGGTTAATTTTGCCGGTTGCCGGCTCTTATTGAAAACACTGGAGACTAATGATCCAAGTATGATCAGGGCAGTCAACCCAGCCATATTATTTACTACCCCCCTTCTTCCTCCACGCCTGTGCCTGATTCCTCTGGGCGTTGTTGCACAATAAGGTTAAAATCAGATTTGTGAGGCAAAGATGATCAAAACAATTAACAGCTTAGAGACTGAATGTGCATGATTCTCCTTAAGAGAAATGGTGATTACCAGGGTCTGAGGCAGAGTTCCAGGAAATATTGCAAGATAAAAAAACATATCTGGGCTAATACTGAAAAATGTTTGGCACACTGTTGCAGCTTACCGTTTTAATCAGTTTGCAGCAAGGAACTAGATGTGTTTCCTCAAGTTTCCTTTTTGATTCCTTTATATCAAAAGAAAAAATTGATTTTGGCAGAAACTTAAAACACACACCCACATATGACAATGTAGATTAATTTTGACAATACTTTTGGCTTATTATACAATGGATAATTAAAATGAAGGATTTGGATTATTATTTGTTATGTATCAAATGTTGCTTGCTTCACTTAGCACTTGGTTGTGGAAAAACAGTCAACAATAAATAGGAATTTAAGAAATTTGTTAGTTTGGATCACCCCCCCCCCCCTTCCAAATGTGAAAAAGGTTTTTAAAATTCTAAGCTTGATACAAAAAAGTATTATGGATTCATATAAGCGCAGGTCTGGATAAAACGTGTACCAAAGAACATGTCACAAATGCATGTTTTATGATAATCATCATCAGAATGAAGCACCAATATATTTTGCATAGAACTGCCCCAATACACATTTTTATTAGTATATTTAAGTACCATGCAAATATAATTATATTGAATATTTGCTGCAAAGGGGTTGACCAGCAATAGAAGACATTTCTCTTTGACTTTCAAGTGATCTTATCACATGGCCTTGTTGCTTCTACCAATTCACAGGCTTTTTTGCAACACGTCACTTCCATTTATAAGGTTCCATAAGTAAAGTAATTTAAAACTACATTGTAGATTTATATATTGAACTTGTTGGCTATTGTGTTTAGTAAAGACGGTTTAGAAACTTTGTAAGAAAAAAACTTGTTTGAAAAATGAAAATATAATCCAGTAGTATTCAAATATTCTCCATTGTATAATGTTTTACATGGTACAGTTCCTCTCTTGTTGGCTGGTTAAAAACTCTATCCTTTATTCCCAAGAAAAGCTGTAAGGGCTTAGCTGGGACGGCCAATTGATCACCTGAGCATGAGTCATTTTAGAATAGTCTAAGTTTAAGGGGAAACAAGGTTCACATAATGTAGCATTATTCATCAGACATAATTTATGAACTAAGAAAAGCCCCTAATGCATAAATGGAATGAACTTGTTATTGCCAAGTCAGCACAGAAAGCAGACAGCCCTTGATAAACATGATAATGACACCAGCTTTTGTGTAGATTGGAGCAAATAAATGCCCTTGGTCTATTTACAGCTATAATGGTAATAAAACCTGTTCTGGTAACCATTATAATTACTGGCAAAAATCCAAAACAAAAATTCTTATCTATAAATGTGGATTAAAACTTGTAGTTGGTAGGCAGAATGATTGCCTGCCTGCTAGTGTAATACAGTGATCTCTTGATCAATAGAGCTATAATGAATTCGTTGGAACTGCTCAAATCAATATTAGAAAGGCGCAGTTTCAAGTCGACAGAATGTAATTGTTTGGGAGAACGAATGGGAAGATGTTTTAAGAAACTTGTGAATAACAATGGGGGAAGTAAATTTGAATGATTATTATTCAAAACAACAGTTTTGTATATATAATAAAGGCAACATAAGTGTGTGTGTGTATGTGTGTAATATTCAGCTAAACATAAAAGATTGTTCTTGCAAATAAAAACATGGCTACAGGGCATATGAGAACATGAATAATTTATCAGGTAGGTGATCTAGTCAGACGAGAGGGTCGTCTCCAAATGATATAGAAGTGCATGTTTCATCAGAGAAAGCCTGGATGTGTCCTGGCAGATTGCCAAGCTTTTGTATAATAAGTTTTGGAAAGCTGCCAATTCTGCTCTTCGCCTAAACATCACCGAGTTTTTAGTCTATTGGAGAAAGAATTCATGTTAAAAGATGAAATGGCACAATAAAAATATTCAGTATGGGGAAAAAAGACAGTTCTTAAGCTTTGGGGAAAACCCATAAAGGCTTAGCTGTTCAAAACTCTATTGTCCAGAAAAACATTCAAGTCAAGGATCAGAAAATATAATAATTACAGATTAGTAAGAACACAAGACTGGGATATGACTTCCTTATTCGTTTAATGTAAATCATTGTGTGTTCTCGCGAACAGCAAAGACACGATTAGTCATGCTTATACATATAACATGGAAGCATCATCATAGTGTAGATTTTAGTTGTTCAAGACAAATGATCGTAACCCTTGAGGCTTCATGGAATCGGGGGGGGGGGGGGGGGGACAATGGCCTTTAATGGGCAATCAAAGTTTCATAAAGAAGAATATACATATGGAAGAATCGTTAATTTTTCTCCTCTTAGAAACTAAGTAAATTTTTTAAATTTGCATAATGGACAAACTTGATTTACATAAATAAATTATCCCACGTTTCCAACTGTTGCTAAGTCCTTGACATACCAAAGAAACCATATAGACAGTAGTTCCTTATACCAGGGTACTTTGCATATATTTGTAAATGAAAATGAAAATATATATACATGTATTTAAACTAAGTAGATTTTGAATACATGAGGCATTCCATGTTCATTTCCATAGTCCTTGCATGCCCACTCAGACAGTGGTAGGAGAAATATACATTAATGTTGAGAAACCAAAAGAACTTTCAAAGAGTTTTCACAGAGAAAACAGCTAGAAATGTTAATATAAGTACAATTCACTTTGCCAGATACAGATTACTTGTCAACTACTCACTAGTGGTGAAGTAAATTTACAGTATTATAAATGATAGTTTTCTTCTAGCGACTCATCTTTCCTGCAGTAGTGGCTGTGCTATTTCATTGCTTAAATTTATAACATAAAACAAATATTGCAGCTTATATTTAACTTATTAGCAAATTGTTTGTTGACAAAACTTCAATTTTGGACATTTCAAGGAGTCCAGTGGCTCAAAACAATATTGCTGGGAACACAAAATGATACAATACAAATCTGATATTGATGCTCATTCTTTTCAAAGAAATAAAACGAGGTTGATACTACCATACTTGGGATAGAATGGACAATTATATCAACTCAATTATCATGCATTGAGATATTTTCTGTTTCTTTTATAGATATGGTAAAATTCAGAGTGTTAAATTGCATGAAGGGTCCTCAGCAATTGTTGCATTTGGAGACATTAAGTCGGCTTCCAAGGCTCATGGTGCTGAAAATAAAATAGACGGAAATGTTTTATCCACGGAGTACAGTGAAGGGTCCGCTACCGGAAGTGCCGTAACAAGAACTGTCGAGCAAAGACCAGGCTACAGTAGACCATATAGCAGAAGCAAAGGGTAAGAGTTGTCTATTGTTCATTTCTGTTGTTTTTGTTGTCTTGTTTGTCTTTGTATTTATCTAATGTAAACTTTTTTTTCTCTCGAAATAATGTGTGCATGTAGACTAGTACATGTATTAATTCAATTTTGTACGAGCTGGTAGTTATTTTTCACATTTTCAGAACCGCAACTAGAAGATTTTTTTTGTTTTTGCATTTTATGTATGAGGATTAATTAATACATAGTTTAAATGGGAATTTATGAAATTGATTTGTTATGTGTTGTGTTTCTGTTATCTGTACTGGATTACTATGTGACATTCTGAGGAGGATACTATTTTGTTATGTGAAGGATTAGTCTCTTTGAGCTTTCCAAAGGTTTTTACCATTGTGCCAACTGGTTGGATGTGCTTTTGTCGGAAATTGCAATGGTATATGTTTAACAATCATTGGAATATCGCACAAATAGTGCAATCAATTCCGTCTGGATGTACCCCTTATAAATATAACAGGATGGATTTTTATATCATTTGGTTTAACTATTATATGGGATGTTATCACAGGATTAAGCATTTATAAGTATGTGTTTACTTATTTTTCTTGAGCAAGGTTATAAAAACTTCTGACAAGTGATTGTGAGAAGAAGCAATGGTATTTCTTCCTCAAGATTATAAACCTAAGGAATTTATGTATTGCAGGTATTATTTATTTTGTTTGATTTTTAAAACAGAATATCAATTGTTTATGTGCTTTACATTTTCTGTTTTATGCCTTTGAAGCATCATTCAAATGATGCAGTAGACACATGTTTCTTAACAGTTAACTACATACTTTCAGCTACCTTAAGGGTTGCCAAATTTTACCACAGAGAATCTCTTCATTAAGTCTATCTCTCTTCCAAGTTACCATGGAGATAAAAAGAAGAAATTCCAAATTGTTTAGAATTTCTGTTTGTCTGGGCATCTGTTGAAAGCATTATTGGGTTGGCTGAAGTATGTTCAGAGCTTTCTACTAGATAACAGAACTTACAGTGTAGGCTTAAAATCTACACAGACAGGTGAATTTTTTTTAGACAAGATCTCTGAAATTTGAAAAAGCACACAAAAACAGTCTATCAAAGTCAACAGTATTTCCTTATTCATAAAATAAGTAAATTTACAAAGTATTTTTAACATCTAAGGTGTGACCTTTTGTGACCTTTGGGATTGTTTTATTGCTGCATCTGTACATGATTTAATGGCATTACACAATTCCCCTGCAGGCAGTATGAAATGTGCTGTGCAACACTGTAGAACAGGTTAGGTTTATGGCTGTTGAATAGAGGGTTGGATAAACAGAGGTAATTGCGAAACCACAGGACAAGGGGCTATCTCAAAAGTTACTACAGAAAGAACAGGACTTAGATGATACACAGTTCACTATAGCATGATAGCAATATCCTTATCTCGAAAACATGTACCACCAAAATTTTTAGCATTAACTATGATTATTTAATTTCTTTGCTATTTCTAACAGATAAATGCGAGAATGATTTCTTTCTGGAAATCATCTTTTTTTAAGTAAACTTTTTTTTTAGAGTGTCTGTTTATTCAACATCGGTTTTATTTATTGTTCTCAAGATATTATTTAAAAAAAAAAACAGAAGCAAATTTTAAGTTCACTCAGTTGCTCATCATATCATTTACAAAATAAAAACTTTATTTTGCCAAATATTTTAGGCTGTACTTTGCTTAAACATAATAAGGAACTTAAATTCTGAAATAAAAAAAATCTCATTATCAATGGTTCAGTTGATAGGAATTCCCTATAACCTACATAAGGTAACACATCTGTAATCAGAGGATATTAATTTTTCAATCAGCACATAACCTTTTTAAAGTCTGATTTTACTACCCTTGCAGAATTTAAATTATGTTTTAATATTTCCATTTCTAAAATATAATAACCCTTTGAAAGTAAGCGGAGTTGATTTAAAGTTAATTATTGAATGTAAATTAGGCAAGAGGTCAGCAGCTAAGGAACATACGCATGCAAACCTCGTGCACATCTGTCTCTGTGTCTGACGCCAAGGAGGCCAAATATGCATGTAAATCTCGTGCGGCTGCCTTTGTGTTTGACGTCAGTGTGCGAGGACTATTGAAATTGGCATGGAAGTCCTCGTGTAATTTAAAGGATTAGTCTACATTCTTAAGATTGACCAGATTACACTTTTATTTCACAATGAAATGGAAATATAAGACAAGATTCTGAAATACACAACATCCAGATAGACAAGTTTCACTGTATTAAAATGTAATTTTAGCATAACATCTTTATGCAAATTAGTGTTTCAAATTTTGATGTCCTGGCATACTCTCAAAACTTGGGTTTTGAATCCTTAAATATGTGTTTAAAATGAAAATATACAGAAGGGAAAAAGTGTAGGCATATCTATATATATAAAGTTACTATTGAATCAAAGAGTTCAGTATTGAAAACATAGGCATTAAATATTTAGATAATCTTGACTGAAACTTAATAATTCAGGAATGAATAATTATGTGCATTTCTTTTGTCAATTACAGTAAAACTTAATTGTCTAATCAGGACATGACTGGTTTCAAAAAAATTGACCAGATTAGAATAATTCAGACGTACACTGTATAAGACAAGATTCTGAAATACACAACATCCAGATAGACAAGTTTCACTGTATTAAAATGTATCGCTTAAATCTTTATCAATCTTTCAAATTTGAGTCTTGACATATTAGCTTGGGTTTTGAATGATGTTGAGGGATCTAAGATGAGGTTAAGCTAATCATATAGAAAGATTGGTAGTCTGTTTCAGATTTAATATTCAGTTAATTGTTAAACTTTTGGTGGCATTCGATTCAGTCAATCAGTCAATAGATTGAGGATGTCCCTTTTGACTACATTCAGGTCCATCCGCAGATTGACAATGTCCCATTTGGCTGCATTCAATATTTAATCAATAGATGATGATGTCCCTTTTGGCTACATTGGATCGATTATTTCACTTCACTCAATGTGTTGATGACGTCTCTCCATCTATCTGCTGCGGCCATTTTGTGATGTCCGGTACAGAAGCTCACCAGCTCAAAAGACCTCTATTTAAGGAATGAAGCTGATTTCAACTTTTGTTATACGATATAACATAACTTGGGGCAGTTTACGCTTTATAAACTGCAAAGCGGTTTATAAAAAAGCGTAAACTGTCCCAAGTCATGTTATATCATACAACATATTGAACATAAGTTGAAATCAGCTTCATTGCTTATAATTTAATTTCAGTGTAGAAAATGAGACAATTTTTTCGCCAGAAAAAGGCTTCAAATAAAGCATATTTGAAAAGTAACGTCAAGCGTAGTAATACGTTTTTGACGTAACTCATTGTGACTTATGCAAGTTACGTTATACAAAATGGATAAAATCTTTTACCCAATCAAATGACGTGTTACAACTAAAATTAAATTATTCTGTAGTAAATCAGGATGAGGTGAGCAAAGGACACTTTCACCTTGACCAAATGTCCTTGAACTATGGCCTTGATTTATAAAAAAAAAGATATGTATATTTATATAAAATTAATAATAAGTCATAAGTGCATTTATTTAAGCATGACATTTTTTTTTCAAATACTACCATATCAGTTTTATGTTTGTCATGGCCTTCAACTTGAAAATAAGTAAAAGAAGAAAACAAAACTGTCTGTTAGACAATCCATTTTGTGCATCAATCTCTAACCTTAAACGTATGCACCAGACAAATGATTACATGTAAGATGGAACCACAGAAGAAAAGCTCATCTTTGAATAAAGAAAAACAAAATTTCTCTTAGATCATGAAGATGATTCATTTTTCACATCATCCTCTAACTTCAATCATTATTACAAGATCAGGGGCGTAGCAACAGGGGGGGGGGGGCTGGCCCCCCCCCCCCACTTTTTTTCGCAACCTTACTTATGCTATAGGAAATGTTAATTGAAAGCCTGGTTGCCCCCCCCCCTCCCACTTTTAGTGGTGTACCGAAAATGTAGTATTAGAATTGGTACTGAAAGGAGTTGACACTGAGAAAAAGTTCACCTCAAACCCCCCCTCCCCATGAAATAGGATTTTCACTTTGGGCAACTTTTCCTTTTTTTTTTTTTTTTTTTTTTGGTTGTCAACTTTTTCAGGTAAGTAAAAAAAAAAATTTCTCTGGCTGGCCCCCCCACTTTCAAAAACGATGCTACGCGCCTGAAGATTATCAATTTAAGATGACATTTAGATACCACGGCTGAAATTCATGTTCAAAAGGTAAATAAACCGTGTATTTGAACATGCTTAAATTGAACTACT